GGGCAAAGAGCTTCCCATTTTACAGAGTTTATATACAAAATATCACCCTCCAATATGTACCCCCTCCTCTTCGTACACAGTTTCAGTTCCCCTTAATCACACACGTCTCGCTCTTTGTCTTGTGTTTAACGCACCCTAAGTTAGTTATTGTTACCGGGCAGAATTTTATGTCCTTTTGATCTGGCCTGTCTGTCCTATTTGCAATTTCCCTGACACATCCATTTACTGAAAAGGCACATCTATTGTATAAATCATCTCTGTCTAAAACAAGAAAACATCTGTTTATAAAACACACAAGCATATGTTCAAAAAGAAAAGATACATAAAATGAAAGATAATATGATTGGTTCTTCATTTACTGCCTCTTCTGTTACTAGGTAGAGGAAACTTTCTTTAAATGATTACTTCATAGATGTCAGGTTCGAACTTAGTCATCTGTCTGGTTCCATTTCTCATGTTATTTATACACACAATCAGGTGTTTGACACACACATTCATCTGAAGTACAGAATCTCTTAGTGCATTGTCTCAGAGATTTAGCAGATAAATGAGGTCAACTAATAAACCATGGTTAGATTAATATTCAGTTTAAAATTTCCCTCACACCAGACAGTTTCTGGTCTCATTGACTTCAATAGTAGGAAAAAAAAAATATACTATGGAAGTCAATGAGACCAAAAACTGTACTCATATTCTTCTAAATATCAGAAAATCGGCTGAAGTGATTAGAAAATGGTAAAACCCAACTGTTTAACTCTGCGGGAGTGGTCAAATGAGCCTATTTCCAAAAAAAAAAAAAAAGTGGAGTATCCCTTTAAATAAGGCAAAAGCACTGCAATTCACTCACACGATAAGGCTGGTCTGAGGCCACGATCCATTACACACACTCTCGTGAGGGATAGTCAATCTTCTGTTCTCCTCAACACACTCTGAAACCAGTGTTGTAGTACTCGAGACTCGGACTCGTCTCGGTCTCGAGACCATATTTTAATGGTCTTGGTCTTGTCATGGACTCGGAATTGACTCGTACTCGAACATTTTTTTTTTTTAGGACTCGGACTTATTCCCGAGTCCACTCGAGTTCAATTCAAAATATTTTTCATGATTATTAATGTATGTTAATAAAATATTTCTTTAAATTGATTGACACACCCAGTGATTGGTGATTTTCTAGTGTGCAACTGCGCATGACAAATTGTAATAAAATTACTTTTAACACCACCTACTATGCGGCCTTTTTACCCTAAACTGATCATATTTTTTAAACTCTAAGTAAATTCAGTAAAAAAAAAAAAAAAGGATTTCTCTACGTAAATAAAAGTAAATTAGGTAATCAACCCTCACTGGTCTCGACTCGGACTCGACTCTCTCTGGTCTCGGTCTCGAGTGAGGTGGTCTCGACTACAACACTGTCTGAAACACATCACTACAGTCTCCTCAAGTTAAAATAGCTACTCATATAATGAAATCAATTCACTTATCTTTCCTTCTCTCTTCACATCACAGATTCCATCCATAAATCAGTCCAGTGAATTCTCACAGATCCAGCAGACTTCAGTGGGCGATTCCCACACCCAGACAACATCCCAGAGCAAACTTGAATCCCAATACTACTCCAAGTAAACCAGCGCGCACTTCCACTGCAAGCAGACTGAACAAATGGACTCGACCCCTACTTCGACGACCAGACTGCTCAACCAGACTGAACACTGAAGCCTCTTTGAATAGTCCTTTTATCTTGGCTTGTAAAAATGGAAGCCTATGGGAAACGCCGCTCTCTTCTCTCCCGCACCTTAGCGCTAATCAGGCTGGTCAATGTTTCCGCCCTACCCGGAACCGGAGTGGGATGTGTCGCACACTAATCGCTCCCTCCGGAAACTCATGTCTATGCAGTCTGCCGGACCTGCAGTCACATCATGTTATACCATGTGCAGGACTCCTCATGCGTTTTAAATGAAATTAAAACATTTATATGCACAAGTTATTATTGTATATTATTATAGAGACTTGCGCAATGCACTTTTAATCCCAATGTTTTTTCTAGCCGACCAACACCGAGAAAACAATTAATACTTTACATTTATTAAAAAAAAAATTAAGTGTTGCTTATAGCAAACCAGTCTTATGACCACTAAGTATTTTTTTTAAATTCTGCTTGTATTTTTTTGTTATTTTGTTTGTTGTAATCTTTGTATTTTTGTCATTTGTCCAGGGACTACGGATGTAAATTAGCCCTGTGGCTATAATACGGCATGTTTACGTCTGTTTTGTTGTCTCAATTCAGATGTTCATTAATATGCATTGTCCCTATCAAATAAATAAATAAAACTTATACTTTAGATTTGTTACAGCAAAATTTAGTAATTTTTCTTGAATTAATTCTTATAAATAACTTTATTTTAAAGACCACACTATATTTCATCATACTTCAAATCAACACATTTTCTTTAGACATAAGACAAAATGTTAATTAATGTAGGTCAATGTGGAATTTAACTTTTTAAGATAAACAAGAGCCAAATTAGCCAGAATTATTGCTTTCGAATATCTTTTAGTTTATAAACCATGAATAAAGACAACTTCAAATGCCCTTTTTAAAATATAAAATAATATGTAGTTATAAAAAAACACTAAAAATAATAACCAACAATGATTTCTGCATCACTAAAACTGTATGTGTTCTGCACACCAAAACCCTTTAAACAAGATTGTTTATTCCCATTTTTTAATGGGGAGGATCAAACTGACTGAAACCGGTTTAAATAGAAAGCATGTTTTATTTTTTTTTACTAGCACATTATAAAAAAAAAATAAGTAAATACGAATTTTCACTCTTTTTTTCAGAGTACAATGATTGAATCATTGAAGAACAATGATAGGCCTTACTACAGGAATTAATACTTCATATATACTTTAGATAATAAATAAATAAATAAAAATCAGTTTGGCAGCAACAAACACAGTCCTCTTACCTCTAGGTGCAAAGGTCAAACTTCTGTTGAAGGTCGAAGATCGCTCTTTAGTGAATCCGACTCCAGACAGATCACACAAATAATGCTTAAAAAAAATCCCCAGCACAAAACGTTAATAAACTACGCTCTTTAAATTGAACATGTCAAGGATTTCATTCAAAGAAAAACGCAGAGAACAGCAGCAGGAGTGTTTAGCTGTACTTCCAGTTAATGCTCCACCTGTTAGTTTACCTGTTCTGGCCGTCACCTGTGAAAGGAGGAGTCTGATTGGTCCACAACACTCAATAAACATGATCAGACACTGACCGATGACCCACATGAGCTAATGATTATCTCACACAGTGATGATTTATCTCAATAACAGTCACATGAACAGATTGATAATCCGCAATGTCTACTCACTTCAGCGTGCCATACACTATCAAAGAGTTCAACTTCAAAACATTATGAATTTAAATAATTATTCAGTCAAATGTGCAAAAAAATGGAAATATCATTATTAGCAAAAAATGAGTTTGTTGTAAAAATAGAAAGTACACTAAAAATGATGTGATCAAGTGATGACGTTTTTACATTGCTTTAACTCATCAACATAAGTTATGCAAATGTCAACTTTTTTCAAAGTTTTACAAGATTGGACTCATTTCAGCTAATGAAAGTAATTTACAAATGTGTTCAATGCAGCTCGGTAGCCTATACGCAACAACTGGATAAGGTTTACAGCAGGTGTTCATCACTAATGCTCAATCATCCCTTAATTAATCAGCTAATTATCTTTACCACTTTCAACACTCTTTTGGGACAATATGTACGCTGAGCAGTGTTGATTTAACACTGGGGATTTTGCTGTGTTCCTGTAGTAATCATGAAGACATTGATTAGCTTGTTCAGGTGAGTTGTAGGTAAACTCTGCAGGAAAGTGGATCTCGCTGGCCAGAGTTGAGGACATAAGCCGTTTAGCCCAACTGAAGCAAATACCAATCACCACAATGGTGACTACAATTAGATTTTTCTCCTTTGTTGATTCTGCTTGTTGACATAAGGTGTCTTCAATAATGGTCAAACATTACTCAATCAATCACTTAATTATCTCATTAACTTTAACACTATTGAGTGTTACTTTAACACTCATTTTAACACTTTAACACTCTTGAGTCTGAAGCCAAATTAACTCTTAGGAAAGTTCATTTAAAACTGGAGTTTTTACTGTGTGAGTTCATGGGTGGAATAAAATTATGGCAGGACTTCGCCATTTGTTGGTCTCCGCATTTGTTGCATCATTAGCGCGGTTTCATTTCTCTTTGACTGGTGCTTTTTCAAAAAAATTCCTATATGCACTTTCTACTATACAACATTTATTTTTAATTTAATTCAAGCACTTTATAAGGACCTGTATTTGTTTTCAAGGACTTTTCAGTCCATGTGTCTGAAATTCAGGGACTTTCAAGAAGCGAGGGAACCCTGCTCACAATTCTGAGAGAAAAAAAGGCAGATGGACAAGTTAAAGCCAGAATCGTAAGAAAAAAATTTTATTTTTTCATTCCATGGCAGAATAGCTTCCATACATTTAAGTACATATCCATACATTTAAGAATGTGCAAAATGCATTAGCCTTATCAAAAGATAAAGAAAACATTACGATACAATACAAAATTCTAAAAAAATATTTTAAATAGTGTTATGAAAAATGCTAATAAGTTTGCAGGAGCCCCAATAAGCCTGTGTATTTGATGATTATGGAGTTTTCTCAATGAATTACACACATATTCTGTTTTAGTAGTTTCCATATGGCCCTGACTACAACCTCCAGAGGATCATCACCGGGAATGTGTGTTGTCGATCTGCTCGAAAGAAGAGCAACAGCGATTACGCATATTTCAGCAACAATGAACTTCAGAGCGTCACTTCGACACTCATCTGCTAAACCAGAGCATATTTTTTCCAATTCTGTTGGACTGGCCATTTTGTGCTCCTGTTTGTATTGCGTCAGTTTTTCATGCATGTTCTTTCTCTGTGTCTCCTGAATGTGTTTCTCTGTTTCTTCAAACATGTCATTGGTGAAATGCGTCCCTCCATTTTCTTCCACCATCTTCTCTATTTTACGGATCAGACCTTTGAACTGTGGGAAACTGGCAGAGTTGTTGTCCAGAAAGAAGAACCGGTTTCCACAACTCTCTACAAGTTTTTTGAGATCTGGATCACTTTCCTGTAGGAACTGCTCAAAGGTTTTGTTTTCTTTCTCCAGCTCATCTTTGTGCGTGAAGAGGATCATGGTGTATTTTAGTATGTGTTCTCCAAATGCTTCTTTAAGTTTCTCCACTGTTTTTTTATTCTCCTCAGTGAAACGACCCACTTTAATCACAATAATGAAAGCGTGCGGTCCAGGAGAAGCGAATGTTACACATTTAACCATTTCGTTTATAACTTCCTCCTCACTGAGTGCAGTATCATAAAGTCCAGGTGTGTCGATCATGGAGATCTCTTTACCAAACCTCACTATAGTCTCTAAACTGCACTGTTTCGTCTGAGAGATCGAGCTTGTGGAGGATTCAAACACGTTTCTTCCGATGATGCTGTTTCCAGTGGCGCTTTTCCCAGATCCAGTTTTTCCCAGCAGAACCAGTCTGATCTGTTCTTTCCTCACTGGAATCACATCAGTCTCATCTGGATCTTCAGCTGGAGACTCTCCCAAAACTACAACAGAAACATCAAATCACATAAATGTGCTGTGAATTAAAATCCAACTACATTTATGATCAGTGTTAGATTTACATTTAATGCCTTTGTAGATGCCCGTATTTAATCTGAGCATGACAAATACAAGTGTCTACATTTAATGATTTACTTGCATGTATTTACGGAATTGATTTATAGACCATTTCACAAGATGTAAACAACACTGGTCCAGAAGCACTTCCTGTTTCAGTTTTTTAACACTACATAAAAGCTGGGATAAAATACAACCAACAGAACATTTAAAACTGAATCAAAAAGTTAAACAAACATCTTTAAGATGTTTTCTTTACATGTGAAATAAAGAAAACAGTTACAAACTGAAACAGGAAGTGCTTCTGGACCAGTGTTGTTTACATCTTGTGAAATGGTCTATAACAAATGATCTTACAGTTGGTATCAGTATCCATGCTGCTTCTTCTTCTTCTTATGATAATTTTTCCTCCATTCTTCATCATCATTCCTTCAATCTTCTGCAGTAGTTCTTGTCTCTGACTCTCTAATTCTTTCTTGTTATTGAAACAGTGAAACCTTCCTCCACATTCAGTCACCAGTCGCTGGAGATCCGCATGATCTTGTAGATATTCCTCAATGGACTCATCCTGATCCTCCAGCTCGTCTTGACGTGTGAACAGAATCATGATGTACTTCTGGACTTCTGAACCAAATAAACCTTTAATATAATAAAGGATCTCTTCTTCATTTTGCACAGTTTCCTCTAGAGGAACGGTGAGCAGAACTGCACTGAGACCTGATGAACATCGAGAGACCAGCTCCTCTTTCAGTTCCTCCAGCTTCTCTACAGACAGATCTGGATCCAGTAGATCTGGAGAGTTAATCACATGCACCTGCTTCTCTCCGATCTGAGTTGCTTCATCACAAACTTCAGCATGTTTCTTCTTATGTTTTTGGACTTTAAACTTCTTTTCTCCCAGTATAGTGTTTCCTGATGAGCTTTTCCCAGAACCGTTTCTGCCCATCAGAAGAACCCGGATCACTGGATCATCTGGACTGGAGCTGATCTCTGACATCTCTGAAAGAGACAGACAATATGGAGTATGAATGTAAAAATTAGGTCAAGTAAAAATTACGATTCAAGTGCATTGACATTATGACATTATATATAATGCCAGGGTGGAGGCATGGCCTGTGTGGCCTCAATCAATTACAATACAAAAATGAACCGCCACTGAACTTACTTAAAGGGACACTCCACTAGAGGTCTTCACCCAAGGTCCGACCTGAGACGCGAGCGGGTTCGGGTCCAAAACTCCGACGTGTGTCTCGGATACGGGTCGGGTTCAGTATTAGTGGCCTCGGGTCTCGGGTAATTTAAAATAAATATGCCTTTTCCAAACGGACCCGAGAAGACGCGAATTATTTTAAACGATTTTGGGCATTTACAAAATCGCACTATTTAAAACAACTCTATGACCGTTCACTCACTTTTTTTTAAGTGAGAGAGCGAATCCGCGCTTTTACGTGCAATGGGCTATAAGCATACGCACGGTAGCCTCCGCATTTATTTATTGAGTTGCTCGCTCCACATAAACCAACCCCTCCGTTTACCACGAAGAACTAGTGCGCCATCATGTGGATGGATGTTTGACTACATGCAAGTATTTGAATTGTCTTCTAGCCAGGCCTGTCAATCAATTTTAAAATACGCGACACTGTCAGAGAAGCATGGAGACGATAACAGATATTGCGAAAAAAACAAACAAAAATAACGACTTTATTCGACTATTCCTTTTCTTCCGTGTTGGCCTGAAATGAGACTTCCTTAGATTTCCACGACGCATGCGCGAGAATTGCGATCTCCTTCAACTACTTCAGTTCAGTTCTCGCGCATGCGTCGTGGAAATCTAAGGAAGTCTTGTTTCAGGCCAACACGGAAGAAAAGGAATAGTCGAATAAAGTCGTTATTTTTGTTTGTTTTTTCGCACAAAAAGTATTCTTGTCGCTTGATAAACTTATAGTTGAGCCACTGTAGTCACATGGAATATTTAAACATTTTCTTCATTGACTTTCTGGGCCGTCAAGTGTCATTCCCTTAGGAGCCTATGTGGTAGTGATTCGGCTCTCAAATTTAATAAAAAATATCTTAATTTGTGTTCCGAAGACGAACGAAGGTCTTACGGGGTTGGTACAGCATGGGGGTGAGTAATTAATTACTTAATTTTCATTTTTGGGTGAACTAACCGTTTAAGTGCATTTTTGAGAAACGCAGGGCTGCAGGCTGTGCACATTGTAAATGCCGTTTACGTTCCGGAATCGGGTCCAGTCGGGTTCTAAAGGAAATGGCGTCGGGTCGGGTTGGACTCAGGTCTAATTTTATCGGGTTTTTCTAAAAAAAATAAAATAATTTATGCACGTCGGGTTTGGGTAAGTAACGATTCTGGTCGATTCGGGTCGGGTACAGTTTATGGGAACTCGAGTTTGAGACTCGGACTCGAGTCGCACTTGAGTCACACAAACGCTGACTTCAGACTTGACTCGTGACTCGACCCTAAAGATTTCAGGCTTGACTTGTGACTCGACCCAAAAGACTTGTCAGCAACCTGTTTTCATGCAATTATTGCTTTTTAAATCTGAATTCATTTTAATGTATTTCTATTTTCTTTTATTGGCGCATACGTTGGGGAAGCGTATGATAAGCTGCATGTCCCCCGCCCTTTGTCATACTGTGCATGCATGAGACAGAGCGTATTTAGGCCACGCCCACACCGGGGGAAAACAATCCAACCGTCTCCATTGACTTTCCATCTGTAGATTTCTCATAAATTCAACAAAAGTTGGCATTGTAAATCATTCCGCTGCTCCGCGATCTGCACCGTCATCACAGACACCGTTATGCTACGTTCACACCGGACGCGAATAGGGCGTCAGGCGCGAATGATTTCAATGTTAAGTCAATGCACAGACGCGCGTGAAAAATTCCTGCGGCGCGAATTCAGCATCTAGCGCGTTAAGCGCGAATGATTCATTTAGTGCCATTTGTGCATTCACGCGTTTGACGCGAATTCGCGTCTGCCGCCCGAGTTGAAAAATCTGAACTTTGGCGTGAATTCGCGCCGCGTTAACCAATCAGGAGCCTATCTGCTTGCTCACGTGGTGAAGTGTCTGGATGCTTCAATAAATTATTTTGTTAATATGACTAAATGCATGTTGGGATTATGCACAACAAAGCAAATGTTTTATCACTTAAAACATTATTTCTATATACGAGACATGTTCATTTTGTATTGAATGTTATTCATTCCATATCTAGATTATATGAAATATTATTATGTTGTAAAGACAATCAACATATGTGCATAAATTCGTGTCTGGACGTGAGAGAGAGAAAAAAAAAATCACAGGACAGGTTAATAACTTCTGAAGGCTGGCTCTATTTATCATCAAAAGAAAAATAAATGACAGCTAGATTAGATGGATGAGGGCGAGGGTGATCCTCGCTCCGATGCGGGACAACAGGTGAGCAAATGGTGAAACTCGCCAAACGGTTCGGCTCCGAAGGGTCCGGTGGACACAAATATACGGCGACGATGATCCCCACGCTGGTGTTCTGCTCTCCAGAGTAAATACAGAGCGGCAACTCTCTTGTTGAATGCTCGGTCGACATAAAAACAATGGCCGCCAACGGATTTCGATTCTGACGCGAATTTCGCTTCAAACTTGTTTTTACGCGCGCAAGTTTCGCTCTTGACACGCGAATTAACACAAAGTGGTCAAGCGTCAAACTAGACGCGTCAGGCGCGAATTTGACGCACGATTCGCGTCCGGTGTGAACGTAGCATTAGAAAGCGCTCTCTCTCTCTCTCTCTCTCTCTCTCTCCAGTTCAATGTTGTCGGATCCAAATATGGTCATTTCCTTTTAATCAGCAACCAATTGCGCAAGTAAAAGGGGGGATTTAACTCTAAATGAGCAATCTCATTGGCCTGATGGAAATCTTTAGATCCCGTTTTGCGTTTTCTCAAATGACTTTTCTCTCAAACTCCAAGTCTGAAATCTCCACTTCAGTAGCACCTATATACCAAACCTAATACACCAAACTGTCCAATCGTATACCTATTTTTATTATGAAGACTATTACAGATGGATTTGTAATATTATTCCTAGCTTGATTTATATAACATTGTTTTTTCTAAAAACATGGCGAAAATCTATTTAAGGCTATCTGATTACAGGATAACAAAAGTAGATATCCATAAATATCTATTTTTCCCCCCCATCTACTACTGTATGTGAACACAATGAAAAAATATTTTAAACCTGGCTTTATCTAATAGGCTATTCAGATTTCGTTTTTTTTTTTAAATATATGCAAATTTGCACATATTTAATTAGACAATTCCTAATAATTTAAGACTTGAGACTTGACTTGAGCTTGCCCCTCAAAGACTTGAGACTTGACTTGGACTTCCAAAAAATGACTTGTGAACATCTCTGCCTGAGAAGACCTCTACACTCCACTCATTTGCATTAAGATTTAAATCCAGTTATACTACACTGTTAGACCTTACCAGGTTTTTTACAGTAAAATACTGGCAACAGGCCAAATTCTGACACTATCATACCATTTTCCATTAAAACAGTAATATACCGTAGAAAACAAAACTAGCCTACAGGAATATACTGTGAATTAATAATCAACACTCAGACTGTGTTCATAATCACATTCACAACCTATAACATCATTCACTATTCCCTACATTAGTTCACTAATATAGTCCACTTGAATGAAAAGAAGTGAGTGAATTGAGACACTGATGAACACATGATAAGCAGAATCACTGAAGGACAGAGAAACAAGAACTGAAAAAGAGAAACACAAGATCTACAACTGACTTCTAGCAACACAGAGTGTGAAAACAGTTTACAAACCAGTTTAACATTATTTATTTCATACATGTACAAAAGTTCTTGTTGAGAATTAACAGAGATTTAATTAATAATAAAGTTTTTTGTCACCATAATGGAGATCAGTGTTTGCTTTAGTAGGTCTCTTATCCCTGGACTTGTTACATTCATCTTTTTCTGACTGCTGTAACAGTGAGTTTTAAAACACATTTGTTATAGCAAGAAAAGTCAAGAGGAAGTTGATCTGGTGTTATTGGCTTTTGTGATGATGTCATGATCATTTTAGATTTGTCTGATTTTCAGATCTTTCCTGTGTATTCTCTTTGAATATATGGGTTTATAATATGAAACTTACATTAAATAAGGAGTACAAAATAAATCTGTGAATCTACAACATGAAATTAATATGTTGGTTAATCATGTCTTCTGAATAATATTATAATCATATAAAACATTAAAATAATATCATGCCTGTATAAGACACACACAGACATCAACAATTACAATATTCATCTCAATAATGGTAACATTCAAAAGTTTCATGCAGCAGTGCATGCTGGGTTCCAGGATAGTATAAAACTCCCAGCATGCATTGCTGCATGAATAAAAAAATATATACTGCCACCATCGTTGAGATTAATGTGCTAAAATTTGATATCTTTGTGGTTCTGCAAGAATATGAGCTCTTTTTCTGTTTATGTATGATGTGTTAAAAAATGAGTCATAATTTATTGCTATGTTTTCACAGTGGTGGTAATGCAACACTTTTGGTTGAGGATTAAACTCTGAATGAGTGAAAATGAATTTTTTTACTAAATGAACAGACCATATGATGATTTACATAATTATTTTGACAAATCAAATCATTACTAAACTGTGTCTGCACAAGTGTGACTTGCACAAAACACAACTCGAAAAGAAAATCTCATGCTACAGCATCAGCAGACCAACTAAAGCAAACACTGATCTCTATAATGGTAACTTCAAACCAAACATTTTCAATTAAACATCTCAACAACATCTTCTATAGATGTATGACAGAAATAAAGCCATACTGGTTAATAATAAGTGTAATAATGTGTAATGGCTGAAGTTAGTTGTAAATCTTGTGTTTCTCTATTTTCTGTTCTTGTTGTTCCTCTTTCCTTCAGTGATTCTGCTTGTTAACAGCAGGTGTTCATGCTCAACAATCACTTACATATTCCCTTAATTATCTCACTGCAACACTGCATCAATGTTACTTTTTACTTTTTTTAGTGTGGATTTTCCTGTGGAGTTGAAAGGGTTAACAGTGTAAGATAAAAAGACACTCCCACAAAATGTATTTTAACAGTAATAAACTGTAAGTTATAAAACAGGTTTATACTGGCAACACTGTTGCCAGTAGTTTACTGTAAAATCTTGTTTTTTGGGTTACCGTTGTGCTGAAGAGTAGAGCCTGTGCTTCAGTCCAGGAGAAGATCTACAAACATTGATGATATGCTGCATGTTGCTTTATTTAAAAGGCACTGTCTGTGTTAGTTGCACAATCCAGTGGAAATCTCTTTAATTACAAAAGTTAATTTTTGTTGTTTCTAATTGAATAAGTTCACAATAAATCCTTGCTCACATTATTAATGCATTATACATTTAGTTGATTCTTTTAAGTTTGTTTCTTCAAGTTAAGTTAGTTAACTCCAGTTTTAGTCCATTTTTACAGTAAATAACTGGCAACACTGTTGCCAGTTATTTACTGTAAAAATGCACTAAAACTAATAAGTTGTATTTTTTTTAGTTAACTCGAGTTTTAGTGCATTTCTACAGTAAATAACTGGCAACAGTGTTGCCAGTATTTTACTGTAAAAAAACCTGGTAAGGTCTAACAGTGTATTGAATGGTCATGCAACACTCTCTTATTTTCTCCTGAGATGAGAGAAATCTGCTATTTCCCTTTTTCACTTACAATGACGCAAAAATGTGGAAGTGTATTATTTTCCTGTTATCTCTGTAAATCTGCTTTCAATCTGTATTGTAAAGGGGCTATATACATAAACATGGCTTGACTTGATTCAAGATGTTATTACTTTTTGAAAAAATAAATATAAAGTTTTCATCAAAGTTTATTTTACTTTACAGTAATTGAAGTTAGAAACGTGTACCAATGTCATATGTAACTTTAGAGAAGCTCTCTAAATTTACCAATATCGAAAGACCAACTAAATAGCCATCCAATATTAAAAACGTCTGAGTGCTGCCCTCTTCAGGTTGAACGGTTCGACTGCAGTTGAATTTTCCTTTTGGATGTTGTTTAAAAGAAACAACTTTTAAACTATGCAAGTGCCCTCGAAAAATATTGTAAATTAAATAAATGTGTAAGTTTCCCACCACGTCATCATTTTTAAATGGTGGCCGTGAGTTAAACAAATAATGTATGAATGAAGTCACAGATATAAATATATTCAAAACAAACTGAAAATGAAAATCATTTCAACATGATACCCAGAATGAGACCTTAACCCGTTTTATTTGTATAGCACTTCTCACAAGATTGGGTGAGCTTTGGATAAGTAAATGAAGGTTAGGATGGACGAGCCGCATATCGCTATTAGTGAGCGCACTGATAGGCCTATATTTATAAATAGTTGTAAGTTTCTGTTAATACAACATTATGTCTTCACGTGGAAATCTTTAAGTTGTGAAAGACAAGAAATTCACTGTAATACAGTGGCAGAACAGTTGAACGCGGTTAATGGTTTTCATGAGACGAAATACGAGCTGCAAATAATGCAAGAATTGGATGAATTTGTACGGAGCAATGGTGATTGAAAAAAAAATATATATCAGAAAATATATCAAATATTTATAAATATGATAGCCTATATATTTTTCAGGAACATTGTAGTCAATGTTTTGCGATCCTGAAGACTTTCTTACCAGGAAGTGAGTCAGCTGTCGCCATCTTCAGTGTTTTCAGGTAGATCACAAACACATGAAAATGCTTCCTAGAAAAACAAATGATTCATTATTAATTACATTATTAATATATGTTTATCACGACTCGTTCTATTATTAAATCAACGCATATACAGAAAACATACAAGAAATACACTCTTTTACCTGGCGTCGAGCTGCTGCTTTGTTTTACTTCCACTTTACATAGCTGTTGAATGCTTGATTCTGATTGGTTACACGTTCTAAGGTGTGCAAATATTTTCAGGGAAACGCACGGCTAAATTTAGTAGGCAGGTTTGACCGCAGTTCCATATCACTGCGGGTAGTTAACTGTAAAAAGGAAAATAGGACACAATTCATAACAAGAAAAAAACATGCAGCCCCATGCGCTTGATCTGCAATTTCCAATGTCTAACTTCACAATTAATGGACTTGCAGTTTAATTTTAATGAATAAAGTACATAGTCCTATCTATAATAAATAGAAAATTAAACTGAATAAATTGATAGTCCTACACGGGCTTTCGTAAAATTCCATATAATAATTTAAATAATTATTGATAGGCCTTCTTGTTAAAAGGGTTTCATTTATTAGGTTATCTGCTTTCAATAATAGAAACAATGAATAAACGAATTTAATAAATAAATAATAATATTGAGGCACATCTGTCTCATCATTGGAATTAGCAACGGCGGCATGGGATTAGATGCGTAAGAAATTAGTCCTACATACAAGAGCGTTTTAATAACACAAACTTGACAAACGTCTTGAAATGCATCATCTGAACAATGTTTCAATGTAGGCTAACTGTAGTATAAGCGGAATAATTGACTAGGATTAGAAAAATAATGCACACCTCGTTTCACAAATACTCCGTTTGCAGTGTGTATTTTTTCCCGTACCCGTGTTGTTGTGTCTTTAAAGGATTGTGGCCACCAGGGGGCATCGATTAGAAAGCAGACAAGATGTTTCGTTTAGGTGTTTTATTAAAATAAATGTTTAAAGGTGTATGTGTGGTTCTGAAACAGAGATACAGACATAAATCAGTAAAGCCTATATAAATGTCAAATAGTTATTACATGCTTAGCAGGTAGGCCTATATAATAAACAAACACAATCAAGAGATTAAAGTATAATTTTGTTATGAATGACTGACTTAAATGCAAATGCTATAAATGCTTATCAGGAAGCAAATACAATACTAGAAATGCAGTAATACACTATATCAAAGATTAATTCACATTAAAGGAGTAGTTCACTTTAAAAAAAAATAAAACTTTTGCTGATAATTTACTCACCCTCATGTCATCCAAGATGTCCATGTTTTTCTTTCTTCAGTCGAAAAGAAATTAAGGTTTTTGATGAAAACATTCCAGGATTTTTCTTCATATAATGGACTTCAATGGGAACCAAACGGTTCAAGGTCCAAAAGACAGTTTCAGTGCAAACTGTTCAAAGGGCTTTAAACGATTCCAGACGATGAATAAGGGTCTTATCAAGCGAAACGATCGCTCATTAAAAAAAAACAAGAGTTCTGAGTTCAGGTTATCACTGTAACCCTTACAAAGTTTATTGCACATATTATAAAACAGATTTAAATTTGATTGATACAATATAATTACAATTATTTTAAAAGTTGTATCATCTGCATATTTCGCAAAGACTCAAATCTCAGATTTCCGATATATTAAATTAGCTGTTTTGACTTTTCCCACAGCTGACCAGCGCATGAATATTAGATTGAATAAAGCATGAGAATCAATTTAATGGTTAATAACAACAAGAAACATGCAGTATTTATCCGATTAGTAGCTAACCACAGAGCAAAAAACTATTAAAATTAATAAAGCGTTTAAAAAAGCAACTTGGTTTCCACTGCTTGCTGCACAGTTCAGGTCACTTCTAGTTGAATAGCTTTCCAAAGTGTACACAGTGTCACACCAGAGATCTGGATTATACATATATTTTACCTTCACATCACGGACTGTAAAAGTCTCGTATGGAGGAATCAGCACCTCTTTCTCTTCAGGAAACCTCGAGTAATTTGCCACATCAGCACCTTTACAAGTGTAGATTTCAAAACAGGATATAGTTCCAAACACTTCTGCTACTGAACGATTAAGAGAGGATGAAGCAAACTGGCCGAAACGAACTTCTCTGCCCTTAACATTCTTATCAAAGTCTACATTAGTACCACGGTAAGTGTTGTAGCATTTGTTTTGTGTTTTCTTCAGAATCTGTATCGCTTCTGTTAACCAAAAGTGAAGTGAATACCATGAATATGTCCCGTCTTTATATTTTTGTTTATCAGAACGAACATCATTATTGAATTTCTGATATAGATTCAAATTAAGGATCTCAGAGTTAGTGTACGTATAAATGGCAACTGAATGATTCTTTGACAAATTATCTCCTGGTGTTGTGTGATTATTTTCAGCATCTCTCCAAGCTGTTGCAAACACAGAGTTAGTCGTCATTTCCTTCTTCAGAAATTCTGTCTGCACTCGACGCTCCATCTTCTTTAAACACCCGTCAAATTGGTCATCAACTGAAGTGTCTGCCATATCCAGTGGGAGAATCTGTCCATCAGCAGCATGTCTCTGATCCTGCAGCGACAGGAATCATAATAATCATCAGTATTCATGTCTGTAATATTCATAACTCAAACACAAGCTCACCTGAACGGCTGAAATGAGGAGAAGAGCTTCAATGATCAGCAGCATCTTGATCCAGTCCAATCCCTCAGATGATCCAGTAGATCTGGGGAAGATATTGAGAAGTCGATTCTCGTATGTATAACTTGTAGAAAAAAGTTGAAAATTGATGAGTTAAAGTAATGTAAATGCATAAGTTGCCACGATTTATTAATCATATAATGTTTTACTCACCTCAACCTTTCTTGTTATTTCTCAGGAGCTGGAGTGCAGGTCATACACAACTCTTCTGGGGAGGTTGGATTTTAATAAATGTGTAATGATGACGACTCGGAAAGCTAATGCGGATCCATGTGTGGAGTGTTTAGTGAACCAGCGGGCAGAAAACAGCACAGAAACACAAGCAGAATCAGACCAATCCAAAACACAAGGCAAACCACAAGAGAGTCCAAGGCCAATACACAAAGAAATCTGAAACTAGGTAGTGGTATGACAATATGAAAACTAATATATGCATATTCTGGGACAATGTGTGTGTGTGTTGTATGATAATAAATTACCCTTCATTGCATTCAATTGTTTTCACTAAGAAAGTAAAAATGAAAAGAAACGTAGCCTCCTAAGCCCTGGTTGTCCACATACGTGGACATCACATTATTGGTTGTGTGTCCAGGGGTCAGAAAGTAAAAGTCCTGCCATATTTTTATTCCGCCCACAGCAAAAACTCCAGTGTTAAATGAACTTTACTGGGAGTTTATTTGGATACAGACTCTTGTGTCAAAGTTAATGAGGTAATTTAGTGAATAATTTAGTGATGATTGAGCATTATTGAAGATACCTGACGATAACAAGCAGAATCTCTGAAGGAGAACGTCATATTTTTAAAGTCACCATTATGGTGATCAGTGTCTGCTTTAGTTGGGCTCTTGACACTTAAATCAGTAACTTTAGATGTTGTTTGGCTGCTGTACATGAGTTATAACAGCCAGATGAACAATAAGGAAAGCTGATGCGCTGGGGTTGGTTATGTTTTGACAAAATCATCATTTGTCGCGAAACTCATTTGTAGAGTTTAACCTTTTGATTACACAGTATAACTTTTTCAGAAATGTAAATATTATCCAAAAGATTTCTTAAAAGCTGTTCTGTTCTAAATACTTTATGGGCGCACACAGACATCAAGAATCAGCCTGTGATTCTCAACAATGGTGACAATTATATAGCATGTTGCAGTGCATTCTGGTTGCCACCAATCAAAACTCATTCATGGTTCCCATAATGCATTGCGGTTTGAATAAATTACGATCTGAATTGTCTAAGTAATTTCCTTTCCCTAATTGAATATTCTGCTTGTCACCATTGTTGAGATTCATACACTGAATCTTGATGTCTGTGTGTGCCTAAAAGAAAGATTTTTAGTTATCAGAACAACGTTTAAGATATCATTTGGTTTATTTTGAAAAATCTGGGTATAATAGTCTGGGTCTAAGACACCTGATTAATTAAAGCAGATTTTTTTTTATCGCATTTTAACAGTTTTTTATTATTATTATTATCATTATTATTTTGAAAGTCCGTTGCTCCCTGGCTCTGCATACACATAGGCCTACAGTCAAACCATGGTTCACAGGAGGGATGAGATGTTGACCACTTCACCTTACTCTATACCTCAACACTATAGACTACGCGTTGGTTTTCATTTAAACTTCTGCGTAGTTGACGCACAATTACACATGCGGTTCTACCAATCACAGCGCTTGCAGTAGGCTACGCGTAGAATTGATGCATTGTTACATTTTTGGAGAGATGCTCGTCAGACAGAAGTATAAATTTGGCTTTAACTCTGTTTGATCTTAGGCTATGTTTACACGGAAACGATTCTGAAGAGAAAACGCAAAAGTGGCGTTGCGTTATCACTTTTTATTCTGCGTTTAGACGAGCGTTTTGTGTGGGAAATCCGCGTGCATAAGGTGACGCAAAAGTGTGTGAAATTCAATGTAGTATGCACTCCAGGCGGCTAGGTGGCAACGTGGAGCACTGCCACACAACAACACCAAGTCCGCGCGCCTGCGTACAACCTTCACTGTCAAGCAGACTTTTGCGTTTTTACCCTTTACACGGGAACGCGGCGGTGGAGCGTTTTTAAGATTTCCACTCTGGAGGGTGGTTTCACTTTTTTGTGTTTTTAAGCCTCAAAAACGCCGTCGCCGTGTAAACGAAAGGCACATCCGATAAAATGTTTTTAAGTATTCACCCGCGAGCGTTCTCGTGTAAACAGAAGTAACGTTGGTCGACTTATATCTATAGTATTGGTCATGACCTCTGAGTACATAGACTGTTTCTGCTGTATTTTAACAAGCTATATAAAAGATAATGCCCTGGCAGTGGCAAATAGCCTTGTTTTAGTATTTGATTTGTTTACATTAATGTTTAAGTAAATTTTTACAATCAATATTTTATTGCTGTGTAAAGGGAATACTGCTGGTATAAAGCACCTTATTTGTTTAAGTTTTTGCAAACCACATGTGTATATAGCAGTACATTTAAACCAAAATACACTACTTTAGAATTCATTCAACAATTTTGCAT